ACAGGATGTTTATATAAATGCTAGCCAAGCTGTTATGTTGAATTTGTTCATACAATAGGAATTACAAATACTACATCTTACAACTGAAAGTAAACATGGACTTGTTTTCCACCATTTGTCTTTCCAAGCAATAACAAAATGTGTGATTTCAAAGCCCAGATCAAGTTGTACAAGACTGATAAACAAATTGCTAAAGTCGTCTCATAAATATAGAATCGTAATCAGTGAACGCTTGATCATATCACAGGCAAACTGCAATTATAGTTTTCGAATTAACATAATTCTACAATAAGATACAGCCTTCAACATATGTGACGTTAGTTTCTGTAAGATGTTTATCTACGGTAAGACCTGCCCTGAATGTGTTGCATCCGTTCCACTTCAGCTTGTTGTAAACATGGGAAGAGCACGAACGTGATGTAATGCCATTAAGCTCTTCGTTTAAACAGAGAGGCTTGGTTTGTTTGTTCAAACATGTTTGACTGAAAATGTGTCTTAGTTGACGGGATGGGTAGAGAGTTTGCTTCTTTGGATAAAACGTAGAATCATAATTATGAAACAATATATTCGACATTAACATTCAATGGATTTTGTTCGGTTTATATCCATAGTATATCGCCATTCTCGGTTTTAATGTGATATATTATTACATTGTTTCTGTATATTTCTGTGTAAAGTGTAATTTAGGGAGTAGGAACACGTCACCGCTGTCGACAAATATACTGACGGAAATAAATCAAGGAACACGTAGACATATACCAGAGTGAAAGCAAAAGGGATATAATCACTATTTGGTAGTCACTCGTTAACTCACGCTTGTTGCTTGTACATTCGACACCGCTTTTGTCAAACGTGTCCTTAGAATACGGATAGAGTTTTGTACATCTCTCGGTGAAGATGCCGATCCTGGCTTAGATCCTGACTGTCACGGGACTTAAAACCTTTAGCCTTTGTGCTGCTCATTCAACCCACAGTTATACTCATCACGTTAACACAGGGCACGCATTCTGAAACCAGGCAACGTTACTCGATCTACGGCAAGAAAGAGTACATTGGTATTTTCAGATGGTAACATTATTTCTGACCGTGTTAAATTTTAACCATGGTTGCCTTCACATATATACTTGTCACCATGAAAATTTGCAAAAAACCTTTAAAAAATCGTTATGTTGAACTACATATACATTTTGAAACAAAACAAAATATAAACTGATCGTTTATGGCTCTTGGTATTGATTCCTGTCACGAAATGATTGAAAAAAACCCAGAACGATCACTTGTAACCCTGAACCACAAAATAGAACCTATTCCTTTTTTAGAACGGTATACACAGAAATTACTTGTGGACATTTCGTACACAGCGTTCATGGCTTGACGTCATATAACGTTGCCATGATCACCAGATAATGGAAAGAAGAATAATTTTTTGTGAAGGAATTCCGTGGACACCTTGGTTCAAGTTTTGTTCAAGTCAAGTATTTCCTTGGCAATGGGGATAAGGTAGCCTAGTGGTTAAAGCATTGGCTTATCACGCCGAAGACCCGGGTTCGAATCCCCACATGGGTACAATATGTGAAGCCCATTTCAGGTGTACCCCTCCGTGATATTGTTGGAATATTGCTACTCACTCACGGAAATCAACTTCCTCATTTGTATTGAACTTCTTTAAATGATCACAGCTATTTCGGCCTTTCCGACGAACAGAATGTGTCTGAAAATTGCATATTCTCTTGCAATGGCGTTTTCTATTTACACTTTTGCATTATCTGTCACAGTGACTGGATGAACATCTGTTTTGAAAAGGCATTATCTTTAAAGACTACAGCTTTGCGACTTCTCCACTCTTCTAAAATGCTTAGTTTCATCTCTTAAATAATTTAGACTGTCGGCCAGTCAATCATTCAATCTTTATTCAATCAAAAACCACCTACGGTGGTACAAGAGCAAAACACAAAACAGATATATTACTCATAATACATGCGTCTTAGCAACTATTTCTTAACAGGATTTGTAAAATATTATAAATTTAGATAGGCATTTCAGTTCTTTTGTGCTTTAGGTGTCAAAGTTTTACAAAGGTTATATATATTTGGGTATTGATAATATAGTTTTGGGAATATACAATAATCTGATGGGGAGAAGCGCTTCACATCTAAAGATGTACTGAAACTCATCTCCCATACACTCTGGTTGCATAGTTTACATTTGCCAACTTCCCTCGCAATTCCCTGCCACCGGCCAGTCTCTATGGGTAGGTTATGATTTGAAGTGCGGAATCTTAGAAAACGGGATAGAGACAGATTTAGGTACGTATTGTTCAAATTGTATTGATTTTGTAAAAATGTTTATAAAGAATGCCAGAGCTAATTAGAGCTAAATTCAATGTTTTCTCTCCTTTATTGGTAGAACTGGTCTGGTCTGGTCATCATCATCATCATCATCATCATCACCTTCACCATCACCTTCACCATCATCATCACCATCATAACATCATCATTATCACCACCATCATCATCATCATACCAACATCATAATCAGCCTAGTATTCCGAACTGCTTACTGGACATGTGCCATCATAGTACATTTCAATCATTGCTCGACTTGTTTCTCAAAGTAATCTGTTTACCGTATAACGAAGTAAAGAAGTTTAGACTCAACGTATTCCTTTGTTTTAGTTCTGATCTAGTTGACCGGTCAGCATGTCCACGCGTTATGTTCAGAGGATAATGGCAAGTAATTAGTCAGAAGCATAGTACCTCAACCTCGAGCAAAAGCATGCTTGTCATAAATCAATGAATGAATACTCTTCATTTCTCGCAACGATTTGAAGAGTACATTCAATTTAATGACTTGGCATAATTTCACAAATACAATATTTACGCTAAACTGCATGAGCTGAAATGTTTACCCACGATACATAGAATGTCACGCATCTGTCAAATGTCATAGGCCGCATCTGTTACGGGCACCGAGGTACATCAGATACCTGCCCTCATCACCCCTAGTGACCTTTGACCTATGTATACTTCCGGCCCGTGGAAAGTATTCTATAAAAAACCTGGGTTTTTACTAAACAAATATTAAAAGGCAATCATATACATTTATCATCCAAAACTGTGTTCCACAGGAGATATCGCTTGTGTGAGATCAAACGATATCTCCTAGGAGATATCGTTTTGACAGTAGATTTTGTACAATGCCCTGACAATGCTATGACGTCATGTACTTGATGACGTCACAATGCTATGACATCGCTGCACTGCAAGTCTAATGGCAGTAAAAAGTTCAGAGATATACATTTTTCATTGAAAATTAATGAAGAGTGATTTTGGATGATAAATAGAATCTCACCCTCGTGTCTTCTGATATCAAATATATCAACACTCGTTGATAAAGTAAAAATATCCTCGGCAAGCCTCGGATATTTGTAACTTTATCAACTCGTGTTGATATAATTGATATCAGAAGACACTTGGGTGAGATTCTCTATATATACTCTTAAAAGATACACCTGTATATCCATTCATGCCAAATGTAAACCGATGGCAGAGTTTCGTTGTTCTAGTTAAACATTTTATTAAAAAAAAATCACCCAGCAACAGCATAAAGACAACACAAACAATAAAGGTACCCTAAGTACAATATATGTGTGAAAAGTGATTCTCATGATCGATGGCATCGCTGAACCTGTTTGGGAATGTACGCAGATGCCATCGATTTGATTTCCAGATGTTCCTAGGTGACGTGTAATTCCTCGTTGGAAGGTACTTGCTGCAAGCATAATGGCATTACACGTTCAAACTATCAATACTCAAGGGTCTTCAGCTCAGTGGCAAATGGTTATGTATTGGCAAATATTGACAATGTTGATACTTGACAATCATTGAAACTCAGTTCAGATTGTAGATATTTGCCTCTTCAAACTGCACCAAGCTGGGGTGCAACTGAAGGGCGAATTGTATTGTAGTTGATTTGGTGATATATGCTGGTCTTGTCATAAGCTTAACTTACTTTGGTAGTTTTTGCACACGTTTAAAATGACGGATTAGACAATGGTTGATTTTTTCATTGTCTTAGATATGTTCCTCGGGGAAATCAGTTCGACCTTTGACGTTGACACTGCCGTCACATCAAGGTGCTCCCAGAGATATATGTTCTTCGTTATCGCCCGTTTTTAACTTTAAATATCAACGTTTTATGTTGGTAAAAAAAGAAATATTTAGTGCAGTGGTGTGTGGTCCGGTGCAAAGAGCTCAGGTGATAAATCAGTTGAAATTAAGCAGCGTTAGGCGTGAGGAGTCCTTAAATGGGTGACCGTGTTTGCCAGCTCGACTCTTCATTGTTTCTAGGAGGGTAGGCCTACTCTACAACGAAGCACATTTGATACATGTAGTCTCACCTTGGGAAAGTAATTTTGTTAAATATTGCCTCTGTTCACACAGCAGGAAATGGGTACCCGGTGGGATATATGATGTGACTATAACCTTCTATAACTTTGATTCACAACGACGTGAAATCCTTGTAACGTTGTCTTGATTATAAGAGTGAGTTACATAGTTTTGTGTGCGCGTGCGTGTGTCTATGTGTGCGTGCGTGCGTGCTTGTACTCGGGCCACTAAGACTAAATACACTGTCTTTGTTTCACATATTCCAATGTCGTTCATAAGGCATTGCATCAACAAGTAGTATGTTTTAACACCTGTTGGAAACACACTGCCGATGGCTGACCACTGAGCATCCGTTCTGAGCAAGCTTCGATTGAAGACACTGAAAGGACTGTTTCACTCATTATGAACGCTATGAGTGAAGACATGCGATTAAATATACATGAGCAAATATTTATTAATATATAAAATCATTTACATTATTGTTCAACAGGACATTGGTTAGTTAGTATACAATACATTTAAAGGACACAGTATTAAAGAAAATGGTATCGCTTGATGCTGTGTGTACGTCAATGTGTCTAAATGCCTTGTGACATCTTCCTCTGTTTTCAGGAAACCGATGGACATACAATGGTACTCTGGGTAAGTATATATCTAATATATAATTTCAAGTGAGTGATAAGTTTAGTTTTTTCGCCGCATTTTGCAAGACTCAAGGCCGTGACCACAAGAAATTGGCTTCACACATTGTACCCATGTAAGGAATCAAACCCGACGAGCGAACACTTTAACCACTAGGCCACTCCATCGCCAAATAAATAATGTTTCAGGACCTGTGACAACATTGATTAAAAACATATGTTTATCACAATTAAGAGCAGCTTGCATTAGCAATTAAAACTTAGCACTACCATTTTATGCAAGATAAAGCACAATACAGCCGTAAAATCAATATAGTTACGATGGTGGCATGTGCTGAGTCCAGGTGAACGGATAATAAACAGCAGGGCTGGGTGACAACAGGTGTCTGGCACCTGTAGAACCTGTCGGGATCTTGTAGCGAGGGTCGCCGGGAGAAAATACATGTCGGAAACAGTGGGTACGTTTAAGGGAACTAGCATTTGATATCCCGTGTATGCATGTGTATGTGTGTGTTTGTGTGTAGATGGATGGATGGATGATGGATGCTAGATGAGTGTGTGGTGGGGGGAGGGGGGATTGGTAGACGGATAGATGCTAGATGAATGTGTTGTGTGTGGGGTGGGTGGGGGTGGGTGGGTGGGGGTGGATGGATAGCATGGGCAAGACAACTTGGGCTTCACATATTAGAAATCTTTAATTTTCTCATGGCTTTGGATTTGCATGGTTAAATCAGACAGTGGGTAATGTAACTCAGTTTCTTAAACGTTTCCGAGAACAGTCAGTTAATATGTTCCATCAAGAATGGCATTCGACTCTCGAAAATAGTTCAAGGTATGATCTATATAGGTCCTTTAAGAGCCTTATCCAACCAGAAATATATTTATCTGTATTGACATCAAGAAATATCAGACGCACATTTGTTCAGCTCCGACTAGGTTTATTAGATTTAAGTATTAATAAAGGTAGAAGATTGTATATAGACAGAAATATGAGAATTTGTCCATTATGCACTTCATCTATTGAAGATGAAATTCATTTTATATTTGTATGACCATATTATGATGATCTTAGAAGAAAATACATTTCAAGTAATTATCTATCAAAATATCCATCGATAGCCTTTGTCTCGATTCTCACTTCCAGAAATGAAACTGTTATCCGTAACCTTTCTCTATTTATAAAACATGCTGTTGTCTTGAGAAATGATAGGTTATCTAAGCAATAACCATTAAAATTGCCATTGTATTATGTACTGTAGTTCTATATATGTATGTAACTCCTTGTATATGGGCCGGAGGCCTTGAATACAATAAACTTGACTTGACTTGATAGACGAAAGATGGATGGATGCTAGATGTGTGTGCGTGTGTGTGTGTGTGTGTGTGTGTGTGTGTGCGTGTGCGTGCGTGCGTGCGTGCGTGCGTGCGTGGTCAGTCTCACAGTCCATGAACCACGTTATTTTCCCTAGCCAAGCCCTTCCTGCAGATGAAGCAAGTCTAGATTTCTTCAGGTTCTGAATCTCCCATCCCACTTGAGCTCTTTTTCAATTTAAATGGGTTTATTTGTTACTATCAAAATTATATATATTCAGAAACTAAGCGTTAGTTTAATCCCACGTGTGCACGTGTATGTGCGTGTGTCAGTGTGTTCTTGTGCGTACATGTCTGTGTGTGGTTATACAATGCCATTTAGACATGGTCAAATGTAACATATGTTAGATTTGAAAATACACTTCCTTATTAAAGTACACATTCTAGTACGTTTTGGATTGAGTCCCATCCGGGATTCGAACCCACACCCTCAGAGTGAGGCACCCTATGGCCAGCACACAAAGTCAGACGCCTAGACCGCTCAGCCACCGCCACTTCCACAGAAAGGAAGTCAGACAACTGGTAGTCTAGACTGCGGACTTTGTGTGGTGGAAGTCGTGGTGGCTGAGAGGGTTAGACGGCTGACTTTGTGACTATTAACAATATTGTTGGATGCGGCTTCCATCAACCACTACAAGAAATTACACGACCAGAATCTCCTACAACGTGTCACATGAAATGGTATCATGTGTCCGATATTATCTCTATATCGGATCATTAAGTTGGTTCGTAAAATACAGTTTCTTTTTTTAAAGCACTTTAATGTGGATGAAGGTAGCGTATCAACTGAAATCATCACGGATAAATATTTTATTTTTTTTAATTAAAGAATTATAATTTCGCCGTAAAAACTCTGCCAAATAATTTATTTAAAGACTCTTCGATACATGTCTTTGTTCCCAGCAGGAATTGCCCGGAATATGACGTGTCCAGATCGGTGAGATTCGGACTAGGTTTCACTGTTCAAGAGATATTCAAAGTTGTAGTCAAAAGGTTTTAGGAATTTAACTTAGATATACCGAGGTTTATTCAAGAGATAACACAATACATATATACTCGTGCCAATAATGGTTGTCACCCCCTTCAATTGTTTTTATTGGAGAGGGTGTGTGGGGTGGGTGTGTGGGGGTTGGGGTGGGGAGGGGGGTGACAACAATTATTGGCATGAGTATATTTCTGCTGACCGCCTCCGTGGTGTAGTGGTTAGAGTGTCAGCCCGGAGTGCTGAAGGTCGCGGGTTCGATCCCCGACCGCGTCATACCAAAATACGTTAAAATATGGTACTTGTTGGTCCCTGCCTGGCGCTCGGCATTAATGGGTACAACAAGGACTGGTCGGCTCGGAGTCAGTATCATGTGTCTGAGTGGGGTATTCATGCTTCACTGCGGCATGGTATCTCTGTGGGCTAGCACTATAAAACCAGCTTCAGTCTGGGCTAGTACAAGCAGCCGCACATACACATACACACGCATGCACGTCGTCATATGAGCGAAATATTCTCAAGCACGACGATAAACCCAATTCCACCACCACCACCATATTTCTGCTGGGAACGTTTGCATGTGTGGAAGAGTCTTTAAATAAATTATTTGGCAGTGCTGGCAATTTGGATGCTATATAATGATAACGTATCTAAGCATTATCTCAGCCAGTCGTGTCTGAGTTGCTTTGACCTTTGCAAACGCGGTTTCCCTATCTAAAATATGACAATGAATTCAACATGATTTATATTTCTGTGAAACTCTATCCATCCTCATCGTTCATGTGTTATCTGCACCTTATCTACACTCTATCTAGAACATGCCTATAACATATCTATTAAACTCAATCTTTATATCTATTATTGCACGAGGCATTCACAAATATGAACATTTCAATTTGCACTTAAAAGTACGCTGTGATGGATCTACGTGTGCACGCTATCCCATTCTGAAGTGAATCATTTTGGTGATTTAGGTGTATTGCTTTTATTCTAATATATTCATGTAAACTGAGATAATACTGCATTAAAACATAATCCATCAGGGCACATGATCGTATGCAATAAATTTCTGCTATTTTCATAAGAGCATTGTTGGCATTGTCAATAACAACTGAGACCCTATGACGTCATGGTGCTTTAGTGTTGAGAAAATATTATCCTTACCGTCTTCAACTGTGCGTGACATCACAGGTTTATTGCGTTAAATACAGTCGGGGGGATACAGCTCTTTGAGAAAAGGGGTGCAGTGTTAATTTTCAACCGTATTCAAGAGAGTTTCAATGGTAATTAAATACACTTTCAAGACAAAAGAGGAGGTGCGCATCCCTGCACCCCCCTCTGGATCCGCCTATGAATTATATCATATTATGTACAATACATGTGGACTACCTTCGATGAATTTTCCTGTAGAGTTTCATTAAGTTTTCATTCTTTTTCTCTTGAAATGTAAGTTATTAATATTAGAAAATAATCTGCTGTTACTCAAAATTACGGATTTTCTGTTCTTCCCGTTACAGCAAACTGCCGCCTGGAGTTTGAACTCATACTACCTCTAATACATTACATCTAGCTTTAACGTCAAACTTCTTAAAGTGAGTTCCCGTGAATGTCCGGGTTAGAATGAACCTTCAGTAACCCATGCATAACGGGATCGGGTGGTCAGACTCTCTGACCTGGTTGACACATGTCATCGTATCCAAATTGTGTAGATCGATTCTCATGCTGTTGATCACTGGGTTGTCTGGTCCAGACTCGATTATTTACCGACCGCCGCCATATAGCTGGAATATTGCTGATTGCGGCGTAAAACTAAACTCACTCACCTACTCTTCTAGTGAGATGTTTACATTGAGTTTAACGTACTTCTCTTCAGAGGTTAACGGCAACTTACTTCTAGTAAGACGATAATGCCGATTTGAAGGACAAGATTATTGATATGATATGGAGTTGATAGTGTTCATGTAGATCGAGCATATGTGTGAAGACAATTGGTCTCATGAAAACATTGCTGAGGGCCATATTGGGTATAAGGAGTCAAACGAATTAGCTGTATGAGATGGCTCAGATGTACGAGAGGGTATTTATGACGCTGGATCAATTTCATCTGTCTGTATTTTGTGTGCAGGTCCAAGTCACTGGCATGTCGACTACCCGAAGTGTGGGGGAAATAAACAGTCCCCAATCGACATCGAAACAAGCAAAGTGGAGTTCAACCCAGACCTGACCGTCTTCGACTTAAGTGAACTCTCCCAGACCGAGAACATAGGCATGACGCTGGAGAACGTCAACGGCCATACAGGTGCGACTGCTGATGCTGAAGCGTAGTCATGTGACCTAATACTCTTACGTCACTAAAACCGATAGGTGTCGCTTTTGTCAGTCTTAGCTCTGTGTATTTCCGTGAGGTCATGTCCAATACTGACGCGTCAAATAGTTTTCAACACGTTATGCCCCGTATTGAAGATCAATTGAACAATTTAGAAATCGTTAGGGGAACTAGAGGATAGGACATCATTTGTTTAAACTACATCGTTACAGCATTACAATCCAAGCATGAAGATAAATTATTTAATACTTCCACCTTTCTCATTTTAGCTGGGGCGGTGGGGTAGCCTAATGGTTAAAGCTTTGACTCGTCACGCCGAAGACCCGGGTTCGAATCCCCATTGGTACAATGTGTGAAGCCCATTTTTGGTCTCCCCCGACTTGATTTTGCTGGAATATTGCTAAAAACCAAACTCAGTTAGTCAGTCTCATTTTAGCTGAATATTAATTCAGATATCTGAACCTTAATACACTGTAAAAACAATCCAATATTCAGGGAAAAGACTGCTAATTTATATCTTTGAAATGAGCGTATGAGCAACATGGAACAGGGAGCTTTAAACATCCGGTCCATATAGTGTACCCGTGTGGGGAATGGAACCTAGCACTTTGGCGTCGCGATCGAATTCTTTATCTACCAGGCTACCCAACACTATTGAAGTTTGGAAAGCGTTTCTGTCAGTGTTCCTTTGTCCTCTTCTGCTTCAGTGGAAGTGGTCATCTCGGGCAGTGCCAACATGCTGGTCTCGGGAGGGAGTCTGGACAACAAGTACAAGGTCAAACAGTTCCACTTCCACTGGGGTCAAGCGGACGAGAGGGGGTCGGAACACGAAATTGACGAGAAGCAGTTCCCCATGGAGGTAATGTTAGATCGTTTTGTTTGTTGTGTTTGTTTGTTGTTTAACGCCACACTCAGCAATATGGCGGCGGTCTGTAATAATAATCTGCAGACAATCCAGTGATCAACATCATAAGCATCGATCTACGCAAGTGGGATACGATGACATGTGTCAACCAAATCAGCCAGCCTGACCACCCGATCCCGTTAGTCGCCTCTTATGACAAGCATGGGTTGCTGAAGACCAATTCTATCCCTGATCTTCACGGGTACCACCTCCATATAACTGGAATATTGCCGAGTGCGGCATTAGACAACAAACCCACCAAATGGCCTCGCGTTGATGCCATCAAACTTTTCGGAAAGGCAACCGGTCGTGTTTTTTCTCGTATACATATCGAGACAATTGCGTGTATTTTGGGGCAGGGGTTACTATTTTTTATGTTCTCATTTGGGGACGGGATAGGCGGTTGGACATGGATTTACTCCACGGCTATTGTAAGTATCATGGCAGTGAAGACAAGCAATTGTTTTTCCTTAAAAACCCACGTAGTTTTTTTGTAAACACATTAGGTATTATATACATGGAAGTGTTAAAAACTAACAGTTAACAATTCCTCTTGTTACGCCTATTTAAAACACTGTAAACAACGTTTGTACCGAACACGCTTATAACGAACTGATCTGGCAACATTATTTATCTCAGCCACTCAATGTATATATGTGGGCATGTTATAACGAACTACGGTTATAACGAACTGACGGCCTTGGCAACGTTATTTATCTCAGCCACTCAATGTATATTATGTGGGCATGTTATAACGAACTACGGTTATAACGAACTGATCTGGCAACATTATTTATCTCAGCCACTCAATGTATATATGTGGGCATGTTATAACGAACTACGGTTATAATGAACTGACGGCTTTGGCAACGTTATTTGTCTGTGCCACTCAATGTATATATGTGGGCATGTTAAAACAAACTACGGTTATAACGAACTGACGGATATGGCAACGTTATTTGTCTCAGCCACTCAATGTATATATGTGGGCATGTTAAAACAAACTACGGTTATAACGAACTGACGGATATGGCAACGTTATTTGTCTCAGCCACTCAATGTATATATGTGGGCATGTTATAACGAACTACGGTTATAACGAACTGACGGATATGGCAACGTTATTTGTCTCAGCCACGCAATGTATATATGTGGGCATGTTAAAACAAACTACGGTTATAACGAACTGACGGATATGGCAACGTTATTTGTCTCAGCCACTCAATGTATATATGTGGGCATGTTAAAACAAACTACGGTTATAATGAACTGACGGATATGGCAACGTTATTTGTCTCAGCCACTCAATGTATATATGTGGGCATGTTATAACGAACTACGGTTATAACGAACTGACGGATATGGCAACGTTATTTGTCTCAGCCACTCAATGTATATATGTGGGCATGTTATAACGAACTACGGTTATAACGAACTGACGGATATGGCAACGTTATTTGTCTCAGCCACGCAATGTATATATGTGGGCATGTTATAACGAACTACGGTTATAACGAACTGACGGCTTTGGCAACGTTATTTGTCTCAGCCACTCAATGTATATTATGTGGACATGCTATAACAAACTGACGGATATGGCAACGTTATTTGTCTCAGCCACTCAATGTATATTATGTGGACATGTTATAACGAACTACGGTTATAACGAACTGACGGCTTTGGCAACGTTATTGATCTCAACCACTCAATGTATATTATGTGGACATGCTATAACAAACTACGGCTATAACGAACTACATTTAGTGGTTTCACTGAGTTCGTTACAACCGTACTTTACCGTATTAATGCTTGACAGTCATTACAGCCTATTATTGGGCACCTAGATCGACATGGGCATCTGGTCATCTGGTCATCCGGCATAGTCAGATGAGCATAAGATATACACATATTTGGCCAGCGATTAACTGCTTGTAAACACTGGCTCTGAGTATACATGTTTTGTTTCAGATGCATATAGTGCTGTATTCCATGACGTATGCAGACATCGACCTGGCCATAGACAAACCAAAGGGACTGGCCGTGCTCGCCTTCCTGTTCGAGGTGAGAATTTAGTGCGTTTCTGTGAGATTGAATAACATTACCGTATTTCCTCTAACAGATGCCGACCGCCTCCGTGGTGTAGTGGTTAGAGCGTCAGCCCGGAGAGCGGAAGGTCGCGGCTTCGATCCCCGACCGCGTCATACCAAAAGACGTTAAAATATGGTACTTGTTAGTCCCTGTCTGGCGCTCGGCATTAATGGGTACAACAAGGAATGGTCGGCTCGGAGTCAGTATAATGTGTCTGAGTGGAGTATTCATGCTTCACTGCGGCATGGTATCTCAGTGGGCTAGCACTGTAAAACCAGCTTCAGTCTGGGCTAGTACAAGCAGCCGCACATACACATACACACGCATGCACGTCGTCATATGAGCGAAATATTCTCAAGCACGAGGTTAAACCCAATTTCACCTCACCTCACCTCTAACAGATGCCGGTCTTCCAATAAATAGACACCTTGGGCCCGTTTCACAAAGCGATCGTAGCGCTACGACTGTCGTAAGTCTATGTTGAAGTATGGGAGTTACGATCACCTTAGCGATACGATCGCTTTGTGAAACGTGTCCTAGGTTCTTAATAGCCACTGTCCGTCCAATGGGCAATAAAGACTGACCATCCAATAAACACTTGCCAACCAATGGACTTCGGCCCTGGAAGAGACACAGGGCATCCAATTGATGCTGACCTAAGATGGGGTTCGAAAAGACGCGATACTTGGGTAGTCTAGTGGTTAAAGCGTTCTCTCATCCCGCCGCAGATCCGGGTTCGATTCTCCACATGGGTATAATTCTTGTGTTTCTCGCCGTGATATTAAACTATTTAAAACATAGCCAATATTCGTTTATCAGTGGAAACGCGGTAGGTGTATTATTGCCAGATGCGGTGTAGTTTACAAGTTTACAAAGTCATATTTTAAATAATTTAATGAAAGAAGAGAAATGGACACATATATATTCTGCTTACCAAAACGAAACGTCAACCATTAAATTTGAACGAGGTCTTTTTTATATCTTCCCACACATTTGCGTGCTTTAGAAATACTAAAAACTGATGATAAACAGGCAATGAATTATGAAGACGCTGATTGATCGTTCAAGTAAAATATTTCCAGTGCGACTGTAGATGCCCTAGTCTCTCATAACTGTCACTTTGAATATGTAAGGAATTGCCTGTACGAAATCTAGTACAGGCAGGTAATATCATAATATCATCATAATAACTACATGATCAAGATACCTGTAGAGTACATCTATATACAATAGGAAGAGGAAAACCAACTTCTATGGATTGTCAACTTCTTTATTGCAGTGGGTGCTACGTTTCGGTAGTAACACCGTTATCAAGCAAGCACCTACACCGAAACGTCGCACTCTCATTGCAATAAAAAAGTTGACTATCCATAAGTTGGTTTTCCTTCGCCTATACAACTTCTAAAATGCCTCTCAAAGAAGTTACATCTACAATAGTACGTACAAGAGTACACCCCTGTATTGAATAGGGAGGTGATATCCACTACAGTACATACAGGGTAAAACAACTGAATGGGATGGGAGCCGATATCAACTTCAGTGCATACAGGGTAAAACAGTTGTATACCATGGGGAGGCGATATCCACTACAGTACATACAGGGTAAAACAGCTCTATTGAATAGGGAGCCGATATCAACTTCAGTGCATACAGGTTAAAACAGCTGTATATCATGGGGACGCGATATCCACTACAGTACAACTGAATAGCAAGGGGAGCCGATATCCACTTCAGTGCACACAGAGTAAAACAGTTGTATACCACGGGGAGGCGATATCCACTACAGTTCATACAGGGTAAAAGAGCTGTATTGAATAGGGAGGCGATATCCACTTCAGTGCATACAGAGTAAAACAGTTGTATACCACTGGGAGGCGATATCCACTACAGTTCATACAGAGTAAAACAGTTGTATACCACGGGGAGGCGATATCCACTACAGTTCATACAGGGTAAAAGAGCTGTATTGAATAGGGAGGCGATATCTAACACAGTACATAAAGAGTGAAATCAGCTGTATAGCATGGGGAGGCGATATCTAACACATTACATAAAGAGTGAAATCAGCTGTATAGCATGGGGAGGCGATATCCACTACAGTACATATAAAGTGAATACAGCTTCATAGCATGAGGTGATCGGTACTCCAGTAATTACATGGCATGGAGAACTGCATTTGTCCATGCCGAGAATCATTTAATGTTTCAGGTAGGCGAAACTAATGCCAACTTCCAGCCGCTGCTGTCCAACTTCGACAGCATCCAGCACAGCGGTAGGTGCCGGAGCACAATCCCTCATACAATATATCGACGCAATAACATACAGATTATAGTCTTTGACTTTGGGTAGAGGATGTGTGTGCGTGTGTGCGTATTTGTGTGAGGCAGTACGAGGGGGATTGCTCGTTGCGGTGACTCGCGGACTGCTTCGAGGAGGAACCCGAACCGTTTCATTTTCTTTCACATCAGGCCTCCCAATGGCAAAAATATTCAGTATTTACCGGCAAATTTGATGTACAAAAAAAGCTTTTCTCGCTGTTCCTTAAGTTGCCAATGCGCCCTTGTAACAAACTTGGAAAACGCACAAATAAATGGTGACAGTTTCTTAAACCACTTTTTTATTTTTGTGACAAAAATTATGCAATTATTTTCTAGAGTTGGTCTGTTGTTTTTTATTGCACTCCGCGTTGGTTTGATTCTTTTATGTCTATTTGTTTTTTTGTTAGATTGCAATTCATCGGTATCCTTTTGTCTCCAACGGACTGTAGGTTTAGTTTATGATTTGTATAATGTTTATTGCTTATCAAAAGGGGCTTATCATCTGAATATTATGCATAATATAAAACAAATACCCTCAGGTTTTATGAGCTATGAAACCCTCACCAAAGGGGAAAAAAAAACCAAGACGTACTCCACTCGTTTAAACCTTCGCAGACAGTTTAAGATGCAAAATAGACCTCGTACTTCTTTTACCCTTGACTCAACGTTCAGCATTAAATTTTACTTTTATCTCCAATACATTTTCTCATACTGCAGGTAACGAGACGTCAATTTCGACATTCTCCCTAAAGTCTCTACTTCCGGCCAACACCGAAAACTACTTCCGGTACGAGGGGAGTCTCACTACGCCTCCTTGTTACGAGAGCGTGGTGTGGAGCATCTTTACAACACGAATCACCGTGTCAGAACAGCAGGTACGTCTCACAAAAGACTTTGATGATGTAGTAAAATCCCAGGAAACAATTTCCCTTACTAACTGAAGACTGCCTCTGTGTCTCGTGTATGAGACATCGGCCTGGAGAGAGGACGGTTGGTGGTTGGATTCTTGCCCATGTCGTTCCAAACTCGTTTCAGACGGTACTTGTTTTTCCCTGCTCGGTATGAAGGGGACAAAACAGGAACTGGTCAGCTCTGAGCCGACATTTGAACTGACTGGTGGACACACATACACACTTCCACACACGCGCGTACACACATAAATGCATCTTGCTATATACATGCAATATCCTTGGACGCGATGTAAAACCCCATTCACCTCAATTTCTAGAAAAGCCGATGTGGAAGTTTTGTGGTTGAGTTGTCAGCCATTCAGATCGCATGTTGTGAGTGAGTGAGTTGAGTTTTACGTCGCTTTTAGCAATATTCCAGCAATATCACGACGGGCATGTTGTGAGATATGGGTGAAATAAGGACAATGCGACGTTAATGTCTTGATTACTTCACTCAGCAATATTCCAGCTATATGACGGCGGTCTGTAAATAATCGGGTCTGTACTAGACAATCCACTGATCAACAGCATGAGCATCGATCCACACAATTGGGATACAATGACACGTGTCAACAAAGTCAAGGAACCTGACCATCCGACCCAGTTAGTCGCCTCTTACGACAAGCGTGGGTTACTGAAGACCAATTCTAACCCGGATCTTCACATGTCCTAATGATGTGTAATGTGTAGCATGTTTATCAATCCCCCTTGCAGCTGAACCAGTTCCGAAGCATCAAAAGAATCAGAGAGGCGGGAGGTGAAGGCGAAGAGAATCTCGTGGACGACTTCCGGCCGCTTCAGAAACTCAACAACCGGAAGGTGTACACCAACAACGTCAATTTAGACACTTCCGGTCAAAACATGCTGAGTGTATCGCACACTTTCGCCCTGCTGTCTGTTCTACTAGCTCTCTCATTCTGAGCTGATGTTATGTTTTAACATTACTACTGGCACTGAAACTGGAAGTTTGTAATTTTGTTTTGTTAGAAATCATTGTAGAGATTATCGCCACGCTGTGTATTTTAGAGTAATGTGATAATTAATCAGAATAATCAACACTTGTAACTTCAGTTACGACGCACACGGACATTGGTTCAAAGTTATTGACCGTCCATTTCATATTTGGGTGAGAGAATGACAGCACGAAGTTCAGTTAATTAGATGCCAATAACCAGATATTTCGTTTCTTCGCGTCACATTTTTTCGCTTCCTACTTCAAAACATAAGAGAAACGAAATTAAGATTTTTTATTTTGGTAAATATTCTCTTTTCTAAGACTTGAGAATAAGAGTGTTGATATGTAGCAATCTTTTTTTGGCAAAACAACACAATCATGGTATCCCAAGAACATTGCATTTTGGTAAAACCGGAGGAAAATTCTCTTTTTGATTTGAAACAACACGGTCTTAGTGCTAAATGGGTCATAGCTTGACATATACCCTCACATAACTGAATTTAACTGTATCTATATTTATGAAAGATACAATTATTGCAAATACCCCCTTCAGGCAAGGAATCATGGTGCATATATGTTTTTGTTGCATACTATTCTCCATTAAGAATGTTGTTTTTTTCAGAATGTATTTCATAGACCATTGCACCACAGTGAGACCTCGTTAAGGTCCAACCCCGTTAATCCGGACTAAATGAATGAGTAAATCCTGACTAATGAGGTTTCACTGGCCAGGCGGTGTGTAGAACGAGCCACGAACTTGTCGTTTCACAGTTTGAAAGAAAAAGATCGTGTATGTAAACTGACGTTCAAAAGAAAGTACACACCTGGTTCTTTGGTAAAATATTTTCTTTAAAACAGCATTAATATTTAAAAGTGTTTCGATTTTGCCTTGTCACAAACATTGTTCAAGTGTTTCCAAAACACCACAGATATTGTACCCATGTACAACATTGCTAGCAAAATATTAATGCTTTTAATGGGAACAGTCCCAAAACATCAGGTGTGTACTTTCCTATCTACATCAGTATATATCTTCGGTTGAGTCCTATAGCAAGCGTCAAGTAGAGGACGACGCCAGATCAGCTCGCATAATATGAATGGTGTGTGTATCTGTCTCAGTTTCTAAAATTCTCAATGTGATCAGTTTGCTCTTGAAATTCGTTTTGTATAGATGTGATATCATGCATGATGTGATATAGTTTGATATCTCGTGTCCACAGCCTGTATCATATTTAAACACTGTGACTCACATATATGACATATATCCACAGAACACCAGATGTCATTAGAAACTATAACAAAATGTACACGTCCATATCAGAATACTCTGTATCCTCAGCAGAACACACCATGCCAACAGCATCACCTCACATACCCACAGCAACATAGTTAAAATTACATGCCTACAGCAGCATACCACAAGTCAATAACAGAGCACACCATGCCATACAGCACGTGTCCACGGCACATAGAATAGGTAATGTTTACAACAGAGCGAACAATGCCAACAGCATCACCTCACATACCCACAGCAACATGGTTAAAATTATATGCCTACAGCAGCATACCACAAGTCAATAACAGAGCACACCATGCCATACCTCCGCAGCACATAGAATAGGTAATGTTTACATCAGAGTCCACAATGCCAACAGCATCACCTCAATGTGCAAAAATAGTTACAACATGCATGCCTGCATCAGTATACATCAAATCAACAACAGAACAGACCATGCCATACATATGTGCTTATGTCCTTGTGTTCATAGCACGATACTAAATATATACTTGCTACACTAGAATACCACACGTCCACAACAGAACTCACCATGCCACAGCAGTACACCGCATCTCAACAGAAGAACAGCAGATGTCCACAGCAAAATACTTAATATATACATCGCAACAATAGAATAATACACGTCCACAGCAGGAAAGCACATGTCCACAGCAAATATCCCTATGTTTTCATGTCTGCGTCAGAATACCACACATCCAAAACAGACCACAAAATACCCACAGCAAGACATGTAAATAGAAGAGCTACACCTACGTCTAAATTCCTGCCAGGAGCCTTGTATTTACGTGTGTTTCGTGAAGAGAAACTATCCCATACCTTGCAAACTCCATGCAACATTTAAGTGCTACGTTGTTTTTGTACATCCATCATTTTGTTTTTGCATTATATGAGATGTTCTTTGAACTGTATGTTTTGTGATAGATCTGAATGTCAAGATAGTTCATGTATTTCTGGGAATGTGTTTTCACCCTCCTGAAAATAGTGTATATTTGTTCCTTTTGTATATCCTGACACGTTCCTGATATCATTATTGTGATATCATTATCATCTTTTGTGATGTAGTACGAGGCGACTAACAGGATAGAGTGGTCAGGCTCTCTGACTTGGTTGACATGTCATTGTATCCCCATTACGGAGATTGATGCTCATGCTGTTTATCACTGGATTGTGTGGTCAATGTTCATCTAGCTGCAATATTGCTGATAGCTGCATTGAACAACCAACCAACCAACAACCAACTCGATGTAGGTTCTGTTCGCCATGCACAATCCAGTGCTTCTCATGCAGCAGTACAATAAGACATGGAATGCTATGGTACATTTGGGAAAAAACCTTTATAATTCTTTGTGTCATTTATAGACCAACAGACAGCGATGACAATCTTATAACAAATGACATATGTTTCTCAGTCTTAGATGACACATGCTTTGTTCGCCTTCATCTGTGATAGACTCAGACAATGTTTTCTAGGCTGTTTAGATATCTGTTAGGGAATTAGTTCTCGTTTATGTATTTTCACTCTCACTGCTCTCGGAGTATATGTACTAACTTTCTAAGAATAAATGATTATAAGTTATGGTTCTGTTGTCACTGAAACATCGTCGTCGGTGCCCCGACATGAACGAAGACCGACAGAGCATACGTGGAATGGGGTAGCAATCGTCTAAGGCAGAGCACTATATGCTGTATAGTGCCAGAGGTGTTCGGTGGCTGCGTTAAATGTCATGCCCTGATTGTGGTTCTTCATCCCACAGGTCACAGGTCCGCCCCACTCCAACGCTCGTAAGTTCAAATATACATGTCAAGTAAAATCGTAGAACAGCATCATTGCGGACTTTCTTTTCAAGCAAGCTGACACGGGGTGGTATGACTCAAATATCCCTCAGAACAATTATAAAATCCTTTCGTTTCATTTTATATTCATCTTTTCCAAAAGGAAATAACATTTTTATCTATTTCTTTAGTTTTCACAAATGTCACTATGGAGATATATCATTTAGGAGAAGCGGAGTTACTTCCCTTTTCTGTTACATACAGAGTTCTTTTCGATAATAGTCGGGAACAAGTCTGTGAATGTTTCCAGTTCGGCTTGAATGACACAACGCTTAGAATGAATAACGGGACTAATTAAAGTTATATGTCGGAGAATGTCGGCTGGAAGATAAAATTAAGACAAGCGGTGGACGATGAGGAATAGGTATATCTATCACAGAAGAATGGAGACATAATGTAAAGAATAACAGAGGTTTGATAGAATGTGAGCCATTTTAACTAAACAGATATACCATTACGTGTACGCACGCACGCACGCACGCACGCACACGCACGCACACACACACACACACATACATACATACATATATACCTGAAGAGCTCGTAAAATAGAGTGACCTCAAAATTATCAAAGTCCTTGTCATCTCGGTGTAAATGTCTCTACCGCGAGGGACTTGTTTACAGTTGTTCATATCCGGGACCGAATTCCTCGCCTTGAAGGTTTACCGATATAACACTTTCAAGAACCTTGCAGTACCTTTCTCTGAGAGTGGGGCAAGGACACTGCACGCCACCAACGATCTGACTTGCGACTTATTTTTATTATTATTATTTTACTCAGTGCGGTTGGAAAGAAAAATATAATAAAATCGCATTGATTTCCAAGTTGCTACAATAATTTAACCTTAAATCTGTCGGTGAAAGAATTCGATGTCAAACCAGCAAACAACAATGAAATGATGTACAAATAACAATTGTATTCTAAAACACAGTAAATGGATGCTAAACAAGTACAGTAGCACAACCTAGCAGTATCACAAGGGGGCGTAGTGGGCGAGCTGGCTAAGGCGCTAGGCTAGTGATCGAGCGAGCTTGAGGTGACGGCATCGAGCCCACCTGTGACCGCGTGTAAAATCCTTGGAGTCAACTTTGCGTGCAGACTCTGTCAGTGTTGTCACAACCCCTAGTGTACAGTACACAACCCTGTGCACTTAAAAGAACCTGTGCACTTAAAAGAACCCACGAATCCGTTGGTATATGACCAGATGGTGGCCATATGAATACGTGCAAACACCTAGTTGTGGGTACAGCAACGTGCAGTAAACTTGGACAAAATATTGTGACTACGTGTCCCAGTCCACCCAGCTGTGAATGGGTACCTCGTAAGGATGGGAAAGCCACATTAACTCGGTGCGCCTAGTGGCTGCAAGAGTTGTATACTCCCCAGGGAGTTGAGATTGATAATACATTGTGCCGTTTGACACTGACATCCAATGATCGAGGGAAAAACAAAGCGCCTTTGAGCAGGTGATCTGGATATTGGGGCTATATAACTATATATAAATAAAATAAAATAAACATTAAGAAAACCCCTATTCATTGGCAATACAAATACAAAGCAGTGGTAATAGTAGTGATCAAGTTTCAAAACTAGGAACCAGAGAGTTATCCATGGAGAAAGGTGGTCCAAGTGATCCTAAGACAACTGCGTGTCTTCTTGTCGCTTCTCGAAGCAGTGAGCGAAATAGTTTCCAAATTTTGCTTGCCAGTCGGGCTAGCTATGCCTGAAAGTTACTAGCCCACACAATAATTCACTTGCCCGAAATCTGAATGTAGAACCTGATCACAGGATTAAAAAGATAGATGAGAATAAGATATTGTCGGCATGACACGGGTTTCATAATTAAGTTGCAAATATGATGAACATTTTATCAGACCATAATCTCGCATGATTAAAATGGTTATCATAACTCAGCAATCGGAGAGAGTGATATATTTACAAACTGACCCCTATGAAAGTTCACCAGCTACTCGTGACCGTGGAAATTTATTGTTAACCCGTGGCTATTGTTACTAGCCACGGGTTAGCGGACCAGTGGTTATTTCGCACACCGTGGACCCGAAGGCCCCTTTTCAAGACTATTACGTAACATGCTTGGTCAGACAAAGCTAAAACATTCAGGATCCTCTAGAAAAAAACCTCCATGGTCATCTTGACTCTCAATCTAAATGTAATAGCCAGCACATCAAAGCCCTCTGCGGTATCTTTAAGGGAAACAAAACTCCAACTTCCAGCCATCCAGCCGGTGCCATTGTAATTTGCTTGAGTTATCACCAGATACCAATTAATGTCAGTCACCCAATAAATTGGGTTCCGGTTGATTGGTTGGTTTTTGTTTAACGCCGCACTCAGCAGTATTCAAGCTATATGGCGGCGGTCTGTAAATAATGGCGTCTGGACCAGACAATCCAGTGACCACCCGATCCCGATAGTCGCCTCTTACGACAAGTATGGGTTACTGTCAACTTACTGAAAATCAATTCTAACCCGGATCTTCACGGGCAAACTGGGTTTCGGACCAGCATGGGATTGCCTTGTTGAAAACCAGGAGAGTCTCTTTCAATTCTTATATTATATCGGATTATGCTTATACGAAAACCTTTTATCCTGACAACTCGTGTCAGATGTTTGATAGGCATTTAGAAGTTGGTAGGGTAATACAACACACTTGATATGGATGTGCAATTTCTTTATTATTTACACACGACGTTTCTGGGCTAATACTTGCCCCTTCATCAGGTAAAATAACAACTCGTATACTTATGTGTCCTGTTGTAACTATGTAAGTCAGTATACATCAATTATGTGCATTTTTATGAAATTATATGCAATTATTTTTGTAAAAATGACGTTTACCTCATGTACTCATATGTTTGCAGTTTGAGAGTAAAGTTCACCTTTAAAATGATGAGTAAAAGCACTGTAGGTTTGTTTTCTTATTCAGTAATATCTATGACAAATGCTAAATCATTTCATCACTGCACAACCAAACTACTTGAGATATTCAGCGACCATCTGTCCTCAACTGCTTACTATTTCCTGTCTTTAAATTCCGGTCAGACACTTCTCTCCCTACATAACGGAAGCTGGCCATTTGTCAGCATACATTCATTGTAGGCTGTCCGCCATCACGCTGAACATTATCAACGACCATTCCATGTACACAGGATTACAGTCTGACCTTTAAATTACAATAAAACAATTTCTGGTCAACTTGAACCGGCTAACTTTGCGAGCACAGGAAGCCACACACAAGAAGCTAAACACATCAACCCTCCCAGGTCAGCACAAACTGTACTTGAACATATCTGTACACGCATAAGCATAAGTGATACAAATGACAGCATTAAATACTTAAAATGGTGGTCAGTTTTAATGACTGGATGGAGGTGTTTTTAACAAACATAACACCTTACACAATTTCATCCAATCACAGCTGTCACATGTCTCTTCAGTTACGG